CCTATAATTAAAAGGGTAACTGAGAAACATGGATCAGGTAGGCAGTATACTATACTTGAAAAAACAAAACGTTCAAACATCAAAGGGCCAAATGGGCCCAAACCCTGTCTCCGTAAAACATGGAAAACGGAGTTGCCACCCCACAATCGGGCGGTGACATCTCCAGCCATGTCAGGCGGCAGGGTGGGGGAACGTGTTCAAGGTTTGTGAAACCATGAATTAATGGGCGGTATTAAGAGGGTCCGAAGACCCTTATTAAGCCTCAACACATCCAGCTATCAATGAGAAAGCATACATAGGTCTCAGAAACACAGAAACAACACAGCAGTGACTACAAAAATGCACATCCTTAAGATATAAGAAATATAAATGAGCAAAATCCCTATATCCGGGTTTTTGTCTCAGTCATAATAAACTGTGGATCAGGACTAAGGGTTGTCAAAATAATGGGTAATAGGCAAGTGAGCATAGTCCCGTCAACCCGGTGCTTGTCGGACTCTCCTTCTATCCATCCGTGGAGAGATGGTGTGCCAAATGGGAGAGACACGAGGGGTGGAGGGTGGACGTTGAGGTGATGGGGCGTCTGCCAGGCCCAACTTGGCCAACATTTCTCTACCTTAGGGAAGGGATGTGGCTATATATGTGCTCCCATTATGTGGAACTATCAGCTGAAAAGGGAAGCCCCATTTGTAGCGAATACGAGCTGAGAAAAGGGCAGTTGTAACTTAATTTTTCTGCTTTTCTCCAACGTAGCCGGAGAAACATCTGGAAAGATTTGCAAAACCGAGCCAGCGAAGGAGATCGTTGGAGTATTTCGAGCAGCTCTAAGAATATCTTCTTTGGTCAGGAAATCCTTCATACACAGAACAATATCCCTAGGCGGTTTTATTCATTAGGGTTTAGGGCGCAGGGCTCTATGGATGCGATCACAAGCGAAGGACCCAGGGTCACGATCTGGAAGGAGTGATTTGAATACCTTGGTTATGGTTTGTGAGAGATCCAACATAGACTCCGGTATTCCCCTGATTCGCAGGTTATTCCTGCGATTGCGATTATCGAGGTCCTCAACCTGCGCCTGCAATTGTGAAAAGGCCGTTTGTAAATGATCATGATCTCTGGAAAGTTCACCATAGGCTAGGCTAAGTTCATCATGTTTGGTTTCTAAGCAGTCGGTCCTGGAGCCCAATGCGGTGATTTCCTGAGAGAGAACATTTGTGCTTTTATGCAGTTCTGATTGGAACTTAGCGGCCAGCTTGGTGTACATAATTTCCAGGCAAGATTCCAAGTCCCCCTTTGTGAGTTGCTGTGTATCTTCATTAACCAGAGCCAATGAAGGAGCTGTGGTATCCTGCGTGGGATCGGACAGAGATGCTCATTCTGTATTATCTGGAGACATGCTGCAAATCTCATGTGTCTTAAGTAGATATGTCGTGAGGGACTTTTGAGCATGTCCCCTTTTTTTCTTGGTGGACGGCATACAGGGAGTCTCCTGGGGCTGATCAACTGGAAATTGGATAGCCTAAAGAGGTAATAACCCCAGGGGACCTATAACGCCCGAAACAGGTTTAGGATTGTAGTTACATAGATGCTAACAGGCTTATCTGCAGAAACTTTAGATAAAAATATTTAGCGAACCGTGAGGGCATAGAGAAGGCATAGGCCGTGGTATATCATTAATAACTTGTGAGAGCAAGATGGTGGCTTCAGCTCCCACCTCAAGGCCCGAGGGGGACGAGGGGCACGTGTGGAACAGAGGTCCCCCAATGATGAACTCTGGGCCCTCCAGGGCAGATCCAGGGAGCCCTGGCGCTTCACTGGAGCACTATATAGGCCTCAGTAGGCCTCTGGGCCCAACTGGGGCCGTGTGGTGACAGAGGAAAGCAGTTTCTGGGGCAGCAAATGGAAGCCCCCTTCCCTGAAACACAGGAGGGGGACCAGATAACCAAATGCCGCCAGCCCCCTTGCCCCCCGTACTCACTGTGACCCGGATGAGAGGGGGTCCGTATCGGGTGGAGCAGGCCACAGACGTCCGGTGCCACGAGAGTGGCAATACACAACTGCGCCACCCTTCCAGACCCAGGGGGCACAGAAAATGCCCTCACCAATCCTCCGCTGCCCGGATGGCCGTGGATGTAGACAATAGCCGCTGGAGCCCCGGATCATGCGGCCGCGCTAGGCCTCGGATGTCCGCCGTCACAAAGGGTGGAAATATCGCCCAGAGGTCAGGAGATGTGCCCAGGAGCCTCCGCTGCCCCGCTGTGGCCTGTAGCTGCCCGGATGGCAACGTATTATACAGGCCTATGCCGGAGCCCCGGATCTTGCGGCCATTCCAGGCCGCGGATGTCCGCCGCCGTGGATGGTGGAAGTATCACCTGGAGCCCCTCTCCCAGGGTCAGGAGATACCCCCTGGAGCCTCTGCTGCCCCGCTGTGGTCCTCTGCTGCCCGGATGGCAGTGGATTCCATAGGTCGGCGCCGGAGCTCCGGATTATGCGGCCGCTCCAGTCGCCATCTTTGACACGCCCCCCCCACTCACGATTGTTAAAGCACGATTTCCACGTGTCGTGCATAGGGCAGTCCATTCACTTCAATGGGTTGTCCTATGTGTCTGTCACCTAAAAGTTGCTCTTGTCCCTTTAGCGTCTCTCAGTTTTTAAATGCGCGCTGTGCTGCAGCAAAATAACACCGCATTTGAGGTGTCATTAGGAATAATGGCACCCAAACGCGCATTGCGTGTTTTTCCTAGATTTTGATTCATGGGCAGAATGGCAGCATTCCAAATCGCCAAGTTTGTACAGGGCCTAGATCAGCTAACAGGAGTCTTCCTTTGTGCCCATAAACATAAAGTTGTCACTCATTTTTAGCAGTTTTGTACAAATGCATGCACAGGAACAATCAAGGCCCAGAATTATTTTATTGGCTCATAGTCAGGCATGTGGCCTGTATTTACTAGTGTGTTAGCTTTATAGGGAAGTTATATTGTAAATACTAATTAGACAGTTTGAGTCCCATTTGCAGGTGAAATCAGCAGTACATTATGCATCGTATCTGTCAGGTTCCATGATTATTGTGCTTTCCTTGAGGAATCATTAGCATAATTGCTTAGTTTAAGCAACAATAACAGGATCACGCAGCAAAACAACAGTCTAGAGAAGGCAATTTGCTTTAAATTATCTTCAAGACAACCTTGGACTGTGGCTTCTATCGCTTACATATGTATATGGCTTTTTCTTGAACTACAGTAAATAATCTTGACATATGTTTCAGAAAACCACTAACAATTGCAATCAAATGAGCTAAAGAGATTTAGACATCATAGCTGAAGACATTTTTTCCGTATTGTACCTTCTCCCTTCTCTTTTCAGTCAGGTTAATTTTTATACAGTGGGACCAAGGCAATTTTTGATAAAGGGGAGGGAATAGATTCCTTGTGGCCTCCATTCTGTCCTAGTGATGGTGGTCACTGAAGCAGGATTGGAGGGTGGCCCGCTCCCATTGACCTCAAGGGGTGAGTTTGACCGGTGGTGTAAAGCTCTGTGTTGCTGTAATGTTAGAATATAGGTGGGAGGCTGGGGGCAGTAAAAACTGGATCAGCCGTCTGTTTTTATTGCCACGCTGTCACCCATCTGAAGGAGCCCGATGAACAAGTGCTGTTGTAGATGGTGTTTCTTAATCAATATGGAACTTATTGGGGTTGATTTACTAAAGGCAAATATACTTTGCACTGCAAGTGCAGTTGCCCTAAAGCTTAGTAAAAGAGGTAAAGCTTCACTTTGTAAAGAACACCCAATCACATCCAAGAAAAAAAAAAAAAAAAAAAAAAACAGCATTTTTGCTAGCACATGATTGGATGATAGAATCAATAGAGCCTCCCCTCAGTATATTTGCCTTTAGTAAATCAACCCCATTATATGATCATACTTGGTCGTTGCCCTTAAAGGATAAGTTCACTTTTTTGTAACATGTTATATGTTATACCCATATTCAGGGTGTAACATTTAACATGCTACCATTGTACCAGCCCCGCACCCCCCCGATCTCACTTTGTGACTACTAGTGGGGGATCGTCTCGCCCTGCTAGCTGTCACAATTTTAGAAAGAGACGGGTGCTTCACCCGCCCCGCCGCATCATTCATTCACAGCGTTCAGTGAATGGGAAACTACAAGTCCCAACAGCCTTTGCGGCCGTCAGCCAGTAGTTCTCAATGAACTACTATGGCGTTGTTGAGCACTGTGGTCATTCATTGATTCTTCCTGTCAGTGTAAAGCTGTCTGCCAGTACGAGCAGACAGATTACACTGACAGTCTTCAGGAGACCTACATGGCATCAGCAAACTGCTGATCGCTGGTGCAATGCTTTACAGGCTCCTTAAACAAAAAATAGTAAATGCACATTTTATTTTTTCTTTTACCTGCAAAAAAAGTATTATTTTTTGTTAAAAGGTGAACTTATCCTTTAAGTTAGATTCCTTTTTGTGTGTTGCATAAAAATGTGATCTTTTGTGTTTGCCTTAATGATGAAAATTTTTTTTTTGTTTTTTTTTTTTTTAAATAAAAACATATTGAAGCTGAAAAAAATATTTTTGCTGGATCTGTAAGTATTTAAAAGAGAAGAGTTTGGATTTTTTTTCCCTAAATCATACTTACCCAGTTGGAGGCAGCATCAATCCAATGCTGCATCTGTCCCCTGCTGGCTCTAAGTGTGAAAACGTAACAGTCACATGATCAGGGATTGCTGAGTTCTCACACCCACTCTAATCAGAGAGTGGTGACAGTTAGTCACTGCTGTCTGCCTTTGACCCCCCCCCCCCCCAGCTCTCACTGGAGCGCTGGGCTGTGGAGGGAGTGGCTGGCTCAGGCTCTCAGCAAATTGCTGAGAGGTTGAACCTGGTGCCACTCTAGACTCTGACTTTAAAGTCGGGTTCTTTCCCCAGCCTGGACCTGCTGAATGACATCAGCCGATAGCGGTCTTCAGCCAATGACACGCTGATCAGAGGGAAATGCAAGTGCCGGTTCTCGGCTGCACTTTCCTTACGCTGTCAGATCGTGAGGAAAGTACTGCCGAGAACCAGCAGTTGTCAGAGCGGGGATCGGCACCGATCATCAGGGCTCTGATGATCAGTGCCCTGATGATCGGTGCCCAGCAGTTCCGCCCACCTGTGCCCAGCAGTGCGCCCACTAGCTCCGCCCACCTGTGCCCAGCAGATGCACCCACCTGTGCCCAGCAGTGCACCCACCTGTGCCCAGCAGTGCACCCACCTGTGCCACTCTGCAGTGTCACCTACCTGTGCCCAGCAGTGCCACCCACCTGTGCCCAGCAGTGCCACCCACCTGTGCCCACCCACCTGTGCCCAGCAGTGCCACCCACCTGTGCCCACACACCAGTGCTGCCCACCACTGCCACCCACCAGTGCAGCCCCGCAGTGCTGCCAGTCAGTGCCGCCAGTCAGTGCCCAGCAGTGATGCCAGTCAGTGCCGTCTATCAGTACCCATCATCAGTGTCACCTATCAGTGCTGCATATTAGTGCCGCCTATCCGTGACACCTCATTAGTGCTGTCTATCAGTGCCGCCTATCCGTGCCACCTCATTAGTACTGCCTATCAGTGCCCTTTAGTGCTGCCTATCAGTGCCCATCAGTGCTGCCTCATCAACGCACATCAGTGAAGGAGAAAAATTACCTGTTTGAAAAATTTTATAATAGAAACAAAGAAACTTTTTTTTTTTTTTTTTCAAATTTTTTGCAATTTTTTATTTATAGCGCAAAAAGTAAAGCGCCCAGTGGCGATTAAATACCACCAAAAGAAAGCTCTATTTGTGAGAAAAAAATGATCAAAATTTCATATGGGTACAATGTTGCATGACCGTGCAATTGTCAATCAAAGTGCGGCAGCGCTGAAAGCTGAAAATTGGCCTGATAAATAAGGGGGTATAAGTGCCCGGTAGGCAAGTGGTTAAAGACCTGAAGTTTGAATTGTTTAGTAAACACTTGTTTGCACTTTCAGCCAGATTTGATTATGACAAATGGTTGATCCGCTTTTTATTTTACCACCCCCCTTGACCGCTTCCAATTTATTAGGCAGTATATAAACTACTTCTAGACCAAGTGATTATACCAAAATCATGGCCACAGCTATAACCATGGTCCTGTTATCGATTCTTACAGCCAGCAATGGGCTTTCAGGTAAAAGTGATATGAGTGGCTCTTCAGCCAGTCCCTGTTACAGGCGTTGCCCGCTGCCGTTCCTGGGCTCTCCCTTTGCATCAGGGAACCTGTGACCTCTGTAAAGGTTTGGGCATGAAGCTGCTGACAGAGGTCATGAAGGATTAACCATTCCTCCTGCTCCTCTGAAGTCAAAGTGACAAAATCATCATTGCATCTGGCTTTATTCATCACAGTTCAGTGATCTCTGTTTGATCGACTCCCTTGGAGGGCAGAGGAGGGATTATCGGTCTAAAAGACCCCTAAACTCTCCATAAAGAGTACCTGTCGCTGCCCAAGCTGTCACAGGGGCGATGTTCACCCCTTGTGATAGCAATAAAGTTGAATAAGAAAAATGTTTAAAAAGTATAAAAAAAATCTAAATCAAATAAATACTAATAAAAAAAAAAATGAAAACACCCCTGCCCCCTTGTGCTCCTGTGCAAATGCAAACGTGCAGATAGGAGCTGCATGCATATGTAAGCAGTGATTGTACCACACATGTAAGGTATTGCCACAAAAGTTAGAATGACAGCAATAATTCAAGCCCAGAGCTCATGTTTAACTTTAAACTGGTAACCTGCAAAGGTTTTTAAAGTGTTGCTGGTGGATAATTTTTCGTAATATAGTTTTTTTGCCATTTCACAGGCATGCAGAATTTTAAAAAATGCAATAAACAGCGCAAAACACCACCTCAGTACATATACAAAAATTGACTTCTAAATTAATAATAATGAAAAAATAATATATGGTGAAATAAATTAATATATGAATTAATTAGATAGTTAAATAATAATGTGATATAATAATATAGTGTCCAAAGCAACTAAAAAGTCTTGAGAACGCCCTGTGGGTGGGGCGAAATGCGTAGACGCCCTTCCGGTTGGCTGTCCTGACATCCCGTGTAATTTCCGGTGAGTGAAATTTTTTTTACCTGCATTGCTGTGGAGCTGGTGAGAGGAGCGAGTGAGGGATTATCTTCCATCTTGGGTGGAAGAAATCTTGGAGGTCTTAAAGGGGGTCTAGGAGCCTATAATAATCCTAAAAGGCGCAATACTCACCAAAATCTGGTGAGTGCGGTGTATGTTGGTTGTCTCACTGGTGGATGGTGGAAGGATCACTATTGGCACTGGGAAGAAAAGATTTTTATGTTTCACTTGGACTTTTTAGTTGCTTTGGACACTATATTATTATATCACATTATTATTTAACTATCTAATTCATATATTAATTTTTTTCACCATGAATAATAATTTCATTATTATTAATTTAGAAGTCAATTTTTGTATATGTACTGAGGTGGTGTTTTGCGCTGTTTATTGCATTTTTTTATTGTGGTTGGTACACCTGTGTGCAGCAGCAATTCATAACCCTGGTATATTATTGTTTTTCCTCTGAAGGGGTGGTCCTGTGTGCTGGGGTTTGTCTTTGTATTTATGCACAATTTTAAACCTTGAAATGTTTGGTGTCTATTTACTCAATGCAATATTATCTTTTATATTTTACCAAAAAATTGGTATTATATTGTACTCGTGTGCATTAAATTTAATTCACGTGTATTTTTTTTCCTGAAAATTTGGGTTTGATAATCAGCTGCAAAAATATCATGTAACATATAAACTTGCCACTATTTTATTCACCAGGGCCTTTGCCTTCAAAAAAGATAAGTTTGGGGGTTCCAAGTAATTTTCTATAACAAAAAAAATCTGATTTTAATATATGAGAGAAATGTAAATAATTGCCCTGGAATGCACGTGGTTAACCTAATATTGTGGCTTGAGGGGGTGGTACACATGCCATGGCAAAGAAAAGCATCACGGGCAGAGCAAAAATTATACCACAGATGTTCAGCAAGTAGTACGGAAGCCATACGTGACTCATTCAAGTGAATGTAGGTGCACTACAACCTCATGTAATGCAGGTGGTTGCAGACTTCCAAGGGTTAAAACAGGTTCCTTTTGAAGTGGCATAGCGCCTGCAGGCTTCCTGTCAAATGTCTCTGAAAAAGCAATCTATAACGGCGCATTAGTGATGTGACCAGTATGAATCCTATCAAGAGTTATAGGTGCTTCAAACCAAGATTGCTGCTTGAGTGCAACTGCTCCAACTTGTGTAATAGGCCCTTTTTTCCTTTATCAGCAATGCCCCTATATAATCTCTTTAGGTGTTTAATGTCATAGTCTGCCAGATTGGTGTTTTATATTATATATAAAATATTTTTAACTCAAGATAGCAAAATCAAGCTTTACATTTTCTGCAAAACCTCTGTTACTGCAACTGGTAGTAGGAAAAGTCAACTTTGATGCTTTAAATTTAAATATAGCCAGTGCCACTAATGAAGGAAATCTCCCGAGTCTTAACTTTAATCTGTGGTTTTCAAAATAATTAGCAAAAGTGATTTTTTCTCTCATACGTCAGCTGGAAAGAGACTAAATGAGCAATGGATTTTGTTGTCGCTGTGAATTTAATAAGAAACTGCAGGTTCAGATTTTAACTAATTATGCATTTAACGGAGACTGTAATGGGCATGTTTAGTATATCACTTCAGTGTGCTATCAAAGTGCTCTATAAGCTGTTTGGTTTCCCTGTTTAGTGCTCAAGTCTCCAGTGAATACAATTGGCAAGTCAGTGTACTTAAGATTCAGATTCATGGGTCTGGCCTTTTCTTTTCTTCCTTTAATTAGTAAAGTGGGCTAGTAAAACAATGTCAGCAATGACTGTGACACTGCTTTTTTGGGTATATTAGGAAAAGTTGTTATTTTTTCAGTTATGCTATAAGAGATTTTGTCCAAATGCATTTCAGAATGTCAAGATTGTATAATCTGTTTCACCGTACGTGAATGTTTGTGTTAAGTTCATTGTTGTTAAAGAAGTACAGACAAAGCTCCTTTGGCTGTACTTCTCCTGTGGATCACAGGAGTGCAGTTTGTTCTGCACTCCTGTGATCTGTTCTCAGCTGACAGCGGGCTGAAGTCCTCTGTCGGCTGACGTCACTCAGCCGGTCCAGGCTAGGGAAAGATCCCGACTTCAAAGTCAGGATCAACCCTAGAGTCTGCAGCGGGCTGCTGAGAGCCTGAGCCAGCCACTCCCACCCCCCTCCACAGCCCAACGCTCTAGTGAGGGCTGGGGGGGAAGGCTGAACAGAGAGCGGTGACTGACAGTCCGACTCTCTGTTCAGAGCGAAGAGGAGAACTCAGATGTCATGTGAATGCTGAGTTCACCCTTAGACCCGGCGGGGACAGATGCTGCATCCACCTAGGTAAGTATAATGGGGGGGGGGACCCAATTCTTTCTTTCCTTTTTTAAAGGCCGAGTTCACCTTTAAAATAAAAATAAATGCACGTTATGCAGATAAAAAAGTGCATTTAATATATTTTTTTCTGTGGAGGCTTTAGAGCACTGCACCTGCGATCAGTGTTAGGCTTTGCAGATGTTTCCTACACCTGTCTGCCAATACCTCTCTGTATGGGCTTTTTGTTTGAAGTGTCAACAAACTGCGAGAGCTCAAAAGCATCCCTGCAGTTCAGTGAGAACTACAAACCATCTGCTGTGGTGGCAGACTGGACTTTGTAGTCCATTCATTCACAGATTTCTGTGACTAAATGACACAACTGTGTGTTCGGAAGTGTACTTAGAAGAATTTATGCTGTTTGAAGACAAATGGTGGTCACACCAAATATTGATTTGATTTGGATTTCTCTTCTATTCATCTACTTTCCATTTTGTTAATTGATAAAAATAAACTAATACCAATTCTAATTCTGAAAGCATTTTTATTTACAGCAGTTTTTCACACCTGCCTAAAATGTTTTGCACAGTGATGTCTATATGTACTTTTCGCTTTCTCCAGGTGTGGCCGTTCCAGATATGGGCCTGGAGCTTGAAGGTTCCAAAGTGTCTTGGGGGGCACAGAACCTTCAATTCTGTGTCCGGGTTTTGCTGAACGCCTGCAGCCTGTGTAGGTACATAGGTGTGAAGGGTTGTTATAGGTCAATCTTGAGGATAGTCCAGTGCAATTTCTGCCATTTAGAGACAACCTTTGTGTCAAAATAGTGGTGTGCTCCAGCTAGGAGGGAAACCTTCTCGGGAGAAGAGACTCTTTATTGGGGGGACTTCTTGTCCACAGGACTGGGAAAGTCAAGACCGCTGTGCAGGTCCAGAGAGATTTGGAAAGCTG